ATGCCAGTAGATGTAGCTAAATATGTCATTAGAAGTAGCTAAATATGTCAGTAGATGTAGCTAAATATGTTAGGAGGTGAAATCTGCAGCCACTTCTTCAGGTCGTCCTCCATCCCTCGCCCTCAGCAGGCTGCGGTATGATTATATTATCCTGTTGGAGCTCTGACAGGTGGTGTTCCTAAATGTTTAAATTAAATCCACAATGCTCAGAGAAACTACATTAGCTCGTACTGTTCGCACATAAACAAACGCTGGTTCTGGTCTGCACCAGAAGTTGTGCCCATAATTCATGCAAGGCAGCATGGGGTCTAGGAATAAGGTGGATAAGGGTCAGTTTATCATTTAGTGAAAGTATTTAACATTTATACAGGGGCAGCTTGTATCAGATACACTAAAAACAGATTATTTCATTACGAACAAACCGCAGCAGAGATTTTGTTCAGTTCTGTAAGAAAGGCTCACTTATATTATTTTTGTAGGATACAGGTTATCCAACAGGATTCCTTGTCTAAAGAAAAATCCCAAGAAATTAACACATATATTTTCAATGGCATGGAAAACAAAGGTTTACACAGGAATGTCTTTGTAACAAAAAACATCTGCACCAACAACAGATCCAGGATGTTTCTACATCCTGGATCTGTTGACCTTGACTCTAGAGTCAAAGTCAAAAAATATGTTACAATCACATAATTTGTGCTATGACATTATTAAACTAAACCCAGGCCAAATGTAGCCGTGTGTAAAAGTTTAAATTATTCTATACAGGGAGGAGGAAAGTGTTTCCTTCTACCTTTAAACAAAATCACTGACAATATTTTTTCTTCTCTAAAAGTTCCACAGCGTTCCATCTTCATCACATTACAAACAAATATAATTTACACATTTACTGTCACAAATTATTTATCTTTGATGTGATAATTTCTGGAGAAATAAAAAGAAACAGCTACAGTGACAACACCACAGTTTAGCCAGAGACAGACGGGTGGACAGATCACATCAGACGGATCTCCACACACCATAAGTGCATTTATTTTCCTATAACTATATTTACTGAGAAAGCTTTATGGACCTGACGCTCAAGAGTCAATGTGTTTATGTTGTAATTTAAATAGCTGAACGGGTAAAAGTTGTTTTCTTTTGGTTATGCAAGAGTCTCGACTCTGCCTTCAAGTAAACAATCTACGGTGTCAGTGCTGCAAAGTAGAGGATCACCTTAATAATCGGGTCTTTGGCCGGTGCCCAGGATGGCACAATTTTCCCGTGCAACCTCCACCGACCGTAGGGGTTGAGCAGGTGCTTCTCTATGACCAAGTACTCCAAGACATCCTTTGGTTGCTCCTCACTACCCAGCATCAGCCTCCCAAAGCGATCATAGATGGCCAGAGTCTGGAAATAAAACAGGGTCCATCCAGTGATCGACGTCTTGATAACGACGTGGAACACAAACACTAAAACACAAGTCTGCTTTTTATTTTATTTGTTTACAGAATGTGGAGCACGTTTAGATTTCAGTCGGTGGAAGTCGATCCATCTCACCTGTTTAGAGTGCATGCGGACGGTCACCTGCCCATACAGGTTGTCTTTGGTGACCATGCCGGGGCAGCGAGCGTGAACCACCCTGGGCGGTTCCAGAGACTCAACAAACGTCCAGCGGATCGTCTTGTAACGGTTGCCCCTCGTCATCTCCTGGATACAGGACAGGGACAAACTGAGGACTTGACCAAAGTGAAGAGAATTATCAGCTTTCAGAGCGAAGACTTACAGGATAACACCTCTCTGTAACCAGGGCGTGAAGCTTGTCCTTGTCAAATCTGAAAATCAGGCAGCAGATTATTCTCCAGGGACAGAAGCACTAGAAAACATCCTTTTTCTATTTTACATGGAACAATTGTCTTGAGTTTTTTTAAGAGATGCTTTTGAATATTCATCTCAATAATAGTAATAATAATAATGAGAAGAAGAAGAACTGGTCCCAGATGGAAAAAATAATATTGATAGTAAATAACACACTTCTTCCCACAAAATAATACAATAAAAACTACTTCTTAGACAAAGCATTCAACAGGGAATATACTGAATATATGAAGAAACAAAAATTAGTTTGAACTTAATGAGGTCATTTTTGTTTGAGTTAATAAATAAAGTGTTTTTCTCTGGTTCAGAACTATAATTTAATTTACAAATAGTATTTTCACAACCAACATAATCCCACATTTGCCCTTTAAGTATTTCAACATACAGCATGTTCTGCTGCTGATGTTTGAGCCTCATGATGACAAAATGAAACCCAGCGATTTTCAGTCAGGTCATCTGGACAGTTAATTTTTTTGCTGAAACGTTTCACCTTCCATCCGGAAGGCTTCATCAGTCAAGGAAACACAACACAAAACTGATTCTTCCCCCAAACAGCTTACTCCAAAGTGGAACAAACCAGTTATGTTGAGGCTAAGATGGCGTCTTTGGCACGCCCCCTCCTCTGGAGCCGGCCCTCTTCCTCGTCGACAGTCATGTCAAACTGGTTCAAAACCAAAAAAAGTCCATGCTCAATAATCCAGGTATACAACCCAACAATTTTCAGTCAATGGGTAAATGAGGACACGGATTGTGTTGTAAAGCACTTTGAGTGTCTTCATAAGATAGAAAGGTGCTATATAAGTACAGTCCAGTTACCATTTGTCTCTATGTGTCCCTGTGATGGACTTGTGACCTGTCCAGGGTGTACCCCACCCCTCGCACAGTGAATGCTGGACATGGGCACCAGCGACCCCCGTGACCCAAAATGGAATAAGCGGGTAAAGAAAATGGATGGATGGGTCTGTAGAAACACAGAACACCTCTGCGGCTGCCAGCTCTTGTTTTTTTTTGCGACATGTCAATCAATTCCAGTAGGCGTGTCAGCAAATGACCAATCGGCGACCTCAATTTGTCCTGAAGTTAAACGCCCCCTGTCTGCAGAGCTGGTCTGCAGCTGATCCAGGTGGACGCTCGAGTATGACGTATCGACCCTCTGCGGACAGTGTGTGTTGAGTCAGCGTGGAAAAATGTCCGCCCGAGTATACTGGGGCCTTGAACGAAGCCAAGTGACCAAGGACCCGTTTTCTTACTGTGTCAGGGAGTTGTGCGCCTCAATGAAGATTTCTTGAGCTTGTACTGCAAAAGTCTTTGTTGTGAACTGAGCGTCGTGCTCTTTGATTTTGCGAATCCTGGAACGAGACAAAAACTGTTTATTTTAATAATCTCAGGGTGTTTTGGATTCAGTTAAAAAAAAAACTTGTGGTTATAAAGTGCGTTTTTTCACACGTGCTCTGAACTGAGGTGAGACGAGAACTACATATCTTACGCGAGCTGTGAGGTGGCGCTCTGTCGTATCTGCTCAGCTCGTTGTTTCAGGCCTTCTTTAGACAGGGTGGAAAGACGAGAGTCTCCTTCTGGGGGGATGTAAGGGTCAAAGACTCCCGCTGAGGAAAACAACAGGACACAACTTTTTGCTTACACCCATGTTTGAGCAGGAGTCTTGTCCATCTACAACTGATGATTTTACAAGCTCCACACAGACCCAATATGTTTTGAGCTGTCGTGCTGTCTAAAAACACGTGACATTAAAAACATGCATTTTATTTGAAACTGTGGAGCATGCACATCAGCTTATTCAGACACAGCAACGCATCTTACACGTGCAGGAAATATTAATGGTCCTCTCCATGTACTGCTGCCGTATGACGAGCCCCGCCGCTCGAGCCTGAAGTTCTGGGTTTTTCTCCGGTTTCTCCGCTGCAGGAGGAACAAAGTGCTTCCTCCTGGTTCGCACTGGCAGGAAGAGTGGGGCAGGATGTCTCACGTCCAAAGGCATCTCAGTATTCTGACAAAGAGAGGACAGACAAGTGTTTAACCACAGGAACCACATTTACTAATATTCACTCAGAGGCTCCAGATGTTAAACAGGTTGAACTTTAGAAACTGTTGGGAAGGTGTGGACCCACAGATCACTTCAGCTTATTATGTTACACAGACAGGTGGTTCAGATTTTTACTCCACTTGTGCATAAGCAAGAAAATAACTTGCGGAGAAATAGACCCTGACATTTAGTAAGACAGAATGTTCATTTTCGCTTAGTCTTTTTAAAGCTAAGCTATTTAATGGACAGCAATAACCAAAAATGTGTTTTATATAAACGCTTGAGGTAAAATTACAGTTTCTAATTGCTCCAATTTAGATGCAAGAATAAATTCTGTTTTCTTCGTTTTATGACATTCACATCGTGATCGCTAACAGGGTTAGCTACTTCCGGTGAGGATTATTAAAAAGAAGGAGTTCATAACATGCTGGACAGAAACAGTTCTTCCTGGATGTGTTAATGTTATAAATGTAAACTCAGTAAACGACAGACTACCTTCAAACTGCAGCATGTTACTTTGCGAAGGGACATAAACGCCCTACTCATGGACGCCGCCATCTTGCTGAAAAATGTCCGTCAAAAAAAACAAACACTTCCGGTTAATGCTTTCAAAATAAAACTGTTTTCGACACCTTACGCGGGTGTTACTGGCGTTTAAAGACTTGTCTTCGTAGTGGCACGTGACACACATCTGATCCAGATTCACGCAGATTATTTGTTGCTATAAAACATAAAGTAGCCAAGACTGAACGAAATCACAACTGCAAACAATCTGGTACAATGTCCACAGCAGGAGGGATCTGGATCTTCTGGATCAAAAGGAGAAAGTGGGAGATGGACGGTTCATATGTAGGTTTTGTAATGACACACGATTATATATTCTTAAAAGAAAAATATGATTTCAGCACGATGGAGCAGTGGTTAGCACTGTTGCCTCACAGCAAGAAGGTCGTGGGTTCAATCCCAGGTTGGACCTGGGGTCTTTCTGTGTTGAGGTTGCATGTTCTTCTCGTGCTTGCGTGAGTTTTCTCCAGTTTCCTCCCACAGAACAAAAACATGCATGTTAGGCTGCCTTCAGGCCTTCCTTGCAAAATGATCTCAGTGGGATTTGCCTGGTTAAATGAAGGTTAAAAATAAAATTAAAAAAAATTCAAACTGAGCATTTAAATGTACGAAGTGTTGTATGTTACACAATGCTTTTATCCGCTTTTGCTGCTTCATTCAACTTTTATTTATACAGGTTAATCCCATTGAACCTCGGGGACTCATTTACAAGAGAGACCTGAATTTTAACAAAGAGTGATGACAACAATGGACAATCATAAAGGATGCATACATTTTTATTTTTTTTACAAGCAGGAAAAGTAGTGAAGAAAACAGCTAGATTATAAGGCGGTGTAGAAAACTAAAAACAGGAACATGTCTGCATTGTTTTTTGCCAGGAACTTAACAGATGTTTGAAGCTACTTAGAGAGGTCAAGGTCGAGAGCTTCAGGTCTTTGTGCAAGATATTCCAGGAACCAGAAGCGAAGTAGGAGAAGGCCCCTTTGCCTAGTTCAGTCCTCACAGAGGGAACACTGCAGGTAACAATGTCCTGAGAGCGCACGCTGTGGTTCTGAGAACGGTTAGTGGGTCTACCGCTAATGCAAATAGAAGCGGTGAGAGCGGGCACCCCTGTCTCGTACCTCGTTGCAGCTTGAATACCTGGATATGTTACAGTTAGTGCAGACTGTTGCCATTGGGGAGGTTATATCAGCCTTACCCATGATATGAATTTGGGACCAATTTTAAATAACTTTAAAGTCTTGAAGAAATAACTCCACTCCACCCGGTCAAATGCCTTCTCAGCATCTAATGAGAGAATGACTTTGTCCCAGGTGTGATTGGGCAGACTAGGAGTGTACAACACATCAAGCAGCCACCTAACATTGAAGAAAGCCTGACGGTTTTTATCAAACCCTGTCTGGTCGGGCAGGACAATTGTGGAGACCACCTGCTCAAGTCGTTTTGCCAGAACCTTTGCAAAGATTTTTATGCCTGTATTTAAAATTGAGCCAGATCGATATGAGTCGCAGTTTAGAAGATCTTTATCTTTCTTAGATATCAGCAAGATTATAGCTTTACGCATGGACAGTGGTAATATCTGTGCAGCAAGTGACTCTTCAAACACAGACATTAATAATAAAAGGTGAAAGTAGATTTGAAATTTTCTTTAAAAACTCAGATGGGAAGCCTTCTGGTCCAGGGGACTTCCCATTTTGCATTTCACTAATTGTGGAGTTTATCTCAGCCACAGAGAACTCCCTCTTCAAATTTCCAACAAGATCAGGATTAATTGAAGGAAGTTTAAGATCTTTTAAAATAAGTTCTCGTCCAATAGGCTAGCTGATGACTCATTTGTATACAATGACTGGTAGAATTTACTAAAACGTATTAATTCCAGCATTGTCGTCACATGCAGCTCCCTGGTAATTGTTTATTACTGGAATAGCTTGGTTGGCTGACTGTTGCCACAGTTGATGTGCGAGCAAACGCCCCGCTCTTTCACCGTGTTCATAGTAACCCTGTCTACATTTGAAAATTAAATGTTCTGCCTGCTGAGTAGAAAAAGTATTAAATTCAGTTTGAAGTAACAAACATTTTTTGATTGGATCCTGAGAGGGGGAGTGACTATATTCTTTGTCTAGTTGTAACATCTCATCCGTTAACTGTCCCAGCCATACCAAGCCCTTCTTTTTTGTTTGCACAACAATAAATTATTTGACCCCTCAGGCAGGCCTTTAGTGCCGCCCAGGCAGTACAGAGTGCCATTCCAAGTGTTTGGTTAACTTCAAGAAATAATTCAATTTCAGATGTAAGAAATTTGATAAAGTTTCCTCAGACAAGAGTAAGGAGTTGAATCTCCAAGAACGATATACAGATTTTGTGACCGGGATAAGCAGTTTCACAATAAGTGGACCACGGTCCGAGATGACCATGGACCCATAGTCACATTCTTTCACCAAAGGCAGAGTTTGTCGATCAAGAAAAAACAGTCAATTCGTGAGTACGTCTTATGAACTGGGGGAAAAAATGAGTATGATTTTGAAGTAGGATTACAGAAGCGCTACACATCAGCCACATCATAAGATTCAAGGAATGAACTGGTATACTGAGCAGACTCAGAGTAGTTTTTCCCATCAAAACTACTGTTATGAGATTGAAGCACAGGATTTGTGTCACCACCAATTATAATGTTAAGTGATGACATATTCGGCCTGTTTGAAAAGAGGTTATTAAAATATGTAGAGTCGTCCCAGTTGGGAGCATATACCGAAACCAAACTGGCAGTGTGTACAACTTCCCCACCACTATGACATACCACCCAGCAGTATCAGAATGCACACTCGAGGCTGTAAATTGTACTTGCTTGCTAACTATAATAGCTACCCCTCTTGATTTGGATTGAAAGTTGGATTGAAACACCTGACCAGATCATTTTTAACAAACTTTCCACTGTCTGCAGAATGCACATGGGTCTCCTGTAAAAAGGCAATATCAGTGTTCAGCTGCTTCAAGTGTGACACAATTTTCCGAAATTTTACTGGACCATTAAGGGATTTCACATTCCAGATTACACAGTTAACTGGGTGGGCAGCCACTGGAGTGGCTAACATCCTTAACACTGGTCATAACAGAACAGCAGGAAATCATTTACATATAAAATATCACAAGCCAATACACGATAAAAGAAACAAGCAAAAAAAAAAACGACTGATCTGGTATAAACCCACCCCTCCCTCCTACCCAAACACGGAGAGAACAAAAACTACTGTCAACTGAAAATCCACACATTAGTGCTTACCCTAGAGAACACAATGCGACCATCTGGGCTCCCGTCTGCCCACATATGAGTAATAATAAAAATAAATTAAAAGTAATAACAAAATATGCTGATATAACCACAAATATCAAATGTGTACCTAGAAATAAGAAAGAAAAATGCTTCCATATTGGGGTGTGTACTATATACCAGAACTTACGGTATTCAATTCAGTGCATTAACACTGTAGAATCGCCCTCCAATATAAATATAATGTTGTATATACCGCCATTAAAGGACCAAGCAGCCAAATATTGAGTCAAACACAAGCTTAAGAAAAATGCTGGTTAAGGGAGGCCCATCCTATGGTTTCTTTCGATCCTCACCACCTGTTGCTGGAACAACATTCCTCTTGACATATTCCATAGCTTTATCGAAGTCGACAAACACCTTGTCCGTCCCTCCATGTGTGATATGAAGCTGTGCAGGAAAAAAAAAAGACCATACTGGACAACTGGCTGGTTCCGCAGGAGTCGCCTCACCTCCATGAACGCCACCCATGCCCTCGCCATGCCCAGAGTGTAATTAGCTGCAATGAATATGGATGATTCTTTGAAGTGGATCGGGACACCGCTGCATGCTCGTTGGAATATTTCCATACAATCTTGATAATAATACAGTTTGGCCACAATAACTCTTGATTTATCATCCGAGCCTCTCCTGCCTGGCGTTCAGTGCACATGGTCGGTCAGCGGCGACTTGCCCAGTTGCTGCGCCATCATTAGCATCTTGGCTATCACTGTAGGGGTACACAAGCCCGGCGATTCAGGAACTCCAATAATCCTAATATTGCTCTGTTTCATATGCCCACTGACACAATCCTCAAGTTTTAGACCCATATGCAGGCAGGCAAGTTAGGCAGGAGTTTAAAATAAAAATAATTTATTTTAAACAACAAAACAAAAAGCTGTTGAGGCGATAAAACTTACTCAAGCACGAGGCGAGCATAAACTGAACAGAACTAAACAACAGGTGAGCAGGTACGGAACAGGACATCAGGATTCAGGTTCAGACAGATCATCGGACAGACAGGAACGAAGGAGGACTGAGTCATCTGTGAGCAAACAGAACGGTTTGGAGGTGGATGGAAGGGGTTTAAATAAAGCAGAGTAAGAGTGGTTAATGAGTGCAGCTGGGCAGGTAGCTGATTGGGGACAGGTGTGACTGATTAAAGGCTGGAGAGGCAGACTGAGGAGTGAGTGAGAAAATGACAAGAACAGAGACAAAACACAAAAAAACAAAAAAGTAAAATAAAGACATGGAAATACAAAGAAAACAGACACGGAGGCGCAGGAAAACAGAAACAGACAGAACCGTGTCATGCACGGACTCAAGCCTTTTTCTCAGCTCGTCCACCTCGTTTTTCAATTCCACCACGGTCCCAGACCGTCGGTCCCAGACCGTCGGTCCCAGACCGTCGGTC